GGGGAGGGGGTGGGGAGGGGAGGGGGTAGTAGAAGAAATGTTGCGCGCACATTAACAAGCATATTTTCCTTAGATATTTCACCCTTAAACCACCGCAACCCAGTACTCTTCCTCAACGATAAATATGCCCTAGTCTTCAGTGTGTTGACTAAACCGTCTCCTTCCTTCTCTCCTCTAGTTTCCGGTGTTGTTGATCCGCCGTTTAAATTTATTGGAGATGTTGTTTAGCTTGGGACCACCCAACAAGTAATCTTGGTACAACCAAGACAGCGTGTTTTCCAACGCCTCCACAAAAACTCTAGAAACTAAGCACCAATTGGTTTAAAATCCGTAAGGTCAATAGTTGACCTAAAAAGGGGGTTTCATTTTTCCTAGGGAAAAAAACAATCAACAAAAGGAACTTTTGTTCTGTTTCTTTATTGCAAATTCAACGCAAATCTTCGAGTATCAAGAGAAGAAAAATCAACACTATCAAGAAAAGGCAATAAAAAATTATCATTATGTTTAAAATAAAAACAACAAAAATTGCATTATTTTGAAAGTTAGCCGAAATAATTTCGTTTACACATTATTTTATGTTAGGACAAATAAATGAAACAAATGAAAGAATTTTTTATTTTATTTTATATATATATTTTTTATCTGAATCTATTTTGAGAAAATGTTGACCTTTAAAAATACAAGGGAAAAATTCTGAGAACTCGCTTGTTTTGAGCAATCTCTTTACAATTTTAAGTAATGAGGATTCTGATTGGTTACTCGACAATCGGGGGCGGAGACTACATTCTCTAGCGCGCGCTCTTATGATTATGGTTACGGATGTATCTTGCAAGAAAACCTATATTGATCAGTAATAAGAATTTTAAATTTATTATATTTTTATATTTTGAATTTATATAAATGATATAAGTTATCACTATATGACTTCAATAATAATAATATTTTTATTTTTTTCAATCTTTTTAAAAAAATTGTTATATTTTTCTTAGAAAAGGTAAAGATGTAGAGGCTCTTGTTGTAAATTCTCTTTAGAGTTAGTAAGGGAGAATTCATTGTTTCATCAGCGTCGATTTAAACGTTCGAAGTTGATTAGCATATGCGTTTTGGAGATATTTTCCTCACTGGTAGAAACCGGTACTGCATTGCACCAAGTAGAGATGTCGAGCAAGCTGGATTCTAAAAAATCTGGTGAGTTTTTTCGGAATATAGCCTATGGATATTTCGTAATCTATCATCATCTTTAGTTATATTGAAGGTAACACTTTGTCCATTACAGATAACATTTTTAATGACAGTGGAAATGGACAAGCTCTCATGAACTCCGCATATCAAAACACTACAGTCAAGTCTAAAGTAAGAACCCTGTCTAGGAATCTTTACTGATTGAACTTAAATGTCGAGCAGTACACATAGTAATTCTGATTTCTCTTTTGGGAATTTTAGGTCGATTTTATCTATGACGCTGTTCCTTCCAGAAGTAAAAATGACATACTCTTAGTCTTGCAGTCGTGCGATTACAATGTTGATGCAGCTATTTCTATTTTTTCTCAAGGTAAAATGGACTCATAAGATTAAATGTTTTGATACCAAGCTCTAAGAATTGCTCTTCAAAGGCTTTACAAATAGCACCTGTGTTTGATCTTTACTTAATTTCGATGCGAAACTATGCTTATAATTTTAAATAGTGTGTGAACTGGGGAAATCTTGCGTTTGCACGTAAAAGTTTATATAAAATTCTTTAATTCATCGCTAAATATTATCACGAAGAATAATTATTTGTTTTTTTTTTAGGTCGAGCTGACGATATCTTGAACCAATGGAGCCATAAAGTGAAAAAATCCAAGGTTAGCAGGATAAAAATGAAAGTTTCCGAGGCAATTCCTCAGTCGTTTCTTCTCTGATCCTCTCGTTATGTTTTTCAACGTTGCACACAAGTTATGAAATATTTATCGATTAACAAACTTTGGTAATCGAGAAATATTTCGCCTTTTTTACTCGAAAGTTTGACCACTGCAGCTCCTATTATCGAAGATTAAGACTTCTTCTTTTTAGGATCTTTTCGTCTTGTTAATCATATGAATTTTTCAGAGACCATAACTCTCAGTGTTATATAACTTCCTAAGTCTATAAATGTTTAGTTAAGCATTCTTTCATTTCATAACAACCTCGAACGTGGCTTCGCTCAGACAAGTCAACAGAGCAACCATTTATTTTTCTTTTTAACCTGCCTGATGTTTTTATTTGCTCTGAATTTTCTATTATGGTTTTGTTTTGTTGCAAGTACTATTTTATTTTCTGTCACCCTGTTTATTAAACCGTTTTTTAAAGGAAACCGGTCGAATTGTTACGAATTATTGTGTAGTTTGACGTAGTTGAGGTTGAAATACCCTTTCACGAGGCAAACTTGCATAAAAAGTCAAGAAACCTCACAAGAAAATTGTTTTTACTGCAAGTAAATATTTCAGGTTCTTAGATCACCGTTTTTAAACTTTAAATATATAAGTAAGTTTCATTTCGTACAAGTATCTTTTTTTAAAGTACGAGATTTAAAATCTTGTACTTTTTGGAACTATAATTTATGCATATGACGTACATAAGTCTTTTTTCCTTGAAAGGTTGGATTTTTTGTTTACTATGTGAATTTTATGTCGTCTTCAATTCCAGTCTTTTACAAGCTGTTCTAAGAATTGCATATCATTTATTTAAAAACGTTCTTTTTAAGGAATTTCGAGAGCAGAAATATTAATCTAGAATTTTCTATACTGTATGACATTTTATTGGAAACATTTCAGGAAGTTATGCTTTTACACTCATCTTTTATATCCATAGAGCGAATAAACTCTGAATTTATATCCCTTATTTATTTTCTTGAATTGATATTTCTCAAGAAATCTAAAATCTGAATTAGAAAATCATGTATTTATAAGCAAAATATTTGCACATATTAACCTTTTTGTAATAAACTACTAAATAAGATTTAAGAATTGTTTCATAGTAATTACGTCTACAGTTTTAATAATAAAGGGGGGTTGGTTTCTGGGCTAACTTCCTGGATAGAAAGGAAATGAAAGAACGGATGAAAAAATGGAAAATAAATACCTTTCTTTGCATAAAATGAAATATATTCAAAAGATATTTAAAAGCCTTTAAAGATATTTAAAAGCATTTTTTTCCTTTTTGCTTGCATTTGATTAAAAAGGTTTACCAAAATGGGAGTTAAAATGGTTGAAAAAACTTGGAGAATATTCAACAATTTTGGATTTATATTCATGAACAGTTTGTTATTGTTTTAGGATGGAAATAAAAAGAAGCGAAACAAAAAGAAACAGGTTTCTGTGAATGTACAGGATGTTGAAACAAAAACAGAAGAAGAGAAGAATCCTGGGGAACAACTAATGCTAGACAAGGCTGAACCATCTGTTGCAAAAGGTCTAGGCGCATCAGGTAGAAGGAGTGTTCTAGGTTTAAAATTTAAATGTCTGTGTGGCTTTGTTGTAAGTGTCATCAAAAGATGTCTATATACAGATTATGAATCAATAGAAGTAAGCTCATTTCACTCATTCTTGGCAAATTATTTAATCATTTACTCATATTTGATTATTTGCCTGAATTAATGAGTATTAGCAAGCAAAGTTTTATTTCTTAAATCTCAGTAATTGTAAGCTACATTATGGTTGATTTCAAAATCAAAATCGGATTTGGAAATATTGATTAGTATTGTAAGGTGGGAAGAAGCTGTTACTGCCATTTTCATAAGCATGCGAACTTGGTATCTGTGAGTGGCATGCTGAAATTTGGCTTTTCGCTGGTGTTAATCAAAACTAATCAGTCAGTACTTTTTATAATTTTGACTGGCTGCAACAAAAAAAAAAACACCTTTTAGTGTGCAGCTTGCAGCTACCAAGTTGGCATGTTTATGAAAATGGCAGTAAGAACCAACATCAAACTTAGAAGCAACAAGCAACTGTAATTCATGGCATAATCATCACCAGGTTTGGTGAATAAAGCCTTGGTCACATGACGTAAGATATTACTGTGCACAGCATATCAATTGCATACTCACCCATGATTTTTTACATGTGTGGGACTATTGGCAAGGGACATGAGGCACTCTTTTAAAGTAATCCTGAATAGCTCAAAGTATGACATAACACTAAATCCCAATTGAAAACAATTCCTCATTATATAGTAGCTATTCATAGCTGAAAAATATTTTATTGGATTAAATTTTAGAATGTGCCACAAAGCCTCCAATCCCAACCAATCTCAATTTAAATACCAACAATGAAGCGTCAGTTTGTCCACAACAAACAGATATGAATGGAATTTCTACCTTGAGTTCCAATAGCTCATTAAGTTCTGATCCAGCAACACCAAGCGATGACCCAGTGGCATTGCCCAGTAAACCAAATGACCACCCAAATCACTCATCTTCACATCATCATAAAACTAATAAACACCATCACCATCCAAAAACTGAGAAGCTGAGCCCGACCACCAGCATTGATGCCTTGAAGAAGACAACCAAAGATCTGACAAGATCGAGCTTTTCTCTTGGTCGATACCAACTTGTTCTGGAAGAGGTTAGTGCAATATAATTGATGGTTAATTTGCATTAATACTATTCCCAAAAGAATAATACTTTAAGTATAGATAAATAAATATATATATACACAGGAAAAAGAACGGATTCCCAAATTGGGAATTGATGGTAGTTTCCTTGAATTCCCAATTCGAACACCGTTGGAATTTATTGTTGGGAATTTCGTTGGGAATTCAAGGAAATCCTCAACAAATTCCCAATTTGGGAATCTGTTTTTTTTTTCCTGTGACACGTATGGCAGACAACCATGTTGGCTGCCATGTGGTGCTTATGTAATTTTATAAAGAATGCTAATGGAAACCACCAACGTGACCTTTTTGATGTACAAACACGTAAATAGAGAAACTACTGTGCAGGAAGACTAACCATGCAGGACCACTTGAACAAAATTTCAGATTAAAAAAAAACAACACTTTATCCAATTAAATTAGGTGAGGGCAAAATCAGTATTGACCTTAGCTCTGCAGCCAATCACATGTTACATCACCTATTAATTCTGTTTATGTTGTTGATAACATCATTTTCCCCCCTTAGATATCTAGACTTGTTACAATTGCTTGCTTCTGATTGATTGATTGTTTTCAACCTGTCATGCATATGATTGGTTAACTTTCTCATCCTGCATTTAGTTTGTCGATCTGCACAGTAACAGTTCATGTGCTAATATTTTTATTTTTATTTTAATATATTCTTACTTGAGATTGCATGTGTAAGTTGTTTCGCAGCTCTTTTAATTATCCCTCATATTGTTGTCATTAAGAAACTAGTTTCTTGACCAGGCTCAAATTCTGTGGGCAGCAATAATTTATGTTTAGATGGAATGGAATAACATTATGTTTGAGTAGTCTGCAGAATAGCTAGAGCTGAATAGGATCTTAATTAATTGACTTTAAGCTATGTAGCTATTATTGCTATATTGATAGACTTGCAAGGCCATCTAATTGCCTTTAGAGTAGTAGAAACAAATTTAACTCATTCCAGCTGCATGGATTTAAAAATTTTCAATTATCAAAAAAAATTTTTTGACTATCAATTATTTAGTGGACTTAAATTTCGATCACTACCAGTATTTTAACTTTTTAAGAAGACAATTTAAGAAGAAGAGTTCAAATGTGTCTATTATCTAGACTAGCTGTGAGCAGTCCCAGGACTTTCTCCTGATCCAGACTCAGTAAAAAAGACAAGTGTTTCAGGAAGAAAAACTGGCTCACTGCCTGCATTCTGAAATATTTCCACCATTTTGCATTATTTTTTTTATATACAACTCATGATCCATACTAGATATGTTTAAAATATGTTTATCTTGTCTTCATATCTACTGATTCTAACACCTATACTGCCTCCCATACTACTGGTAATGTTCTGTCTGTATATCCTTTTCAAATATTCCAATTATTTGCTTTTTAAGGAATGTGAACTTTCATTAAAGAGGATGACTAAAACATTTGAAAACATTAGAAAAAGGTGAGTATGGTAGTGAAGGGAATCAAGATTGACGTAGCAGTAAAGCACCTGCCTCTCAGCTCTGGGGTCTCTGGTTTTGTTCCTAGACTTGGTATATTTTGTGAGCAGAGGTTGATCTTTCTCTTCCTCATTTCAAGTGTAATTCACCACTTTTTTCAGTCTTTAATTTCTCCCTTCAGAAAATCTAACATGGTAAATGGCCATACTATACACCTTTTGGGAAATGATGTCACAAAATTATATATTAAATGCCAAACTCTTATGATGTACTAACCATGCATCCCCCTGACACAAAAAAATCCTGTCGCATCAACCTCCTGAGTCTGCCTCTGTAATGGGAAAAATTGCACCCCAGGAGCTGGGGAGGGGGGCACTTTTCTCTTTTTCCCATACTAGTCTCTTATATTTTCCAATATTAACCCCTCCCCCCCTCCTGCTACACACACTTTTAAGAGTGCTCTGAGGCCCCTGCATCCTCATTCTGAACAGCAAGTAACAAATCTGTGAAATAATCATAACATTTCTGCCCATGAAATGGTATCACGATATCCCCCTTAGGTATCCCATAGTGCATCACTATGATCTGAACTAATGTTTATTCTTAAAGATGATATCACTCAGTGGCAGCGGAACCCCCACGAATTTTTTTGGGGGGCCTGGACCCCCCATAATATTGGTTCACATGAAATATAAATGCATAGATTCGATTTTTAATACTGTTATTAAGTTATTGTTGTGATTTTTTCCAGTGCCCCCCCCAAAGATTTTTTCCAGTGCCCCCCCCAAAAGATTTTCAGCTTCCGCCGTTCCTAACATACCGCTGTTTTTGAAGACCACAGACTCATTTGCACAGAGATTAGCCTCGTTAATAAGTCAACTGTTCACCAAATAAAATAAAAAAAAGAATATCTAACAGTCTTTAATAAAGGAGTTTGTGAAACGTTTACAGTGTGAATCGAAAAACCGACAACGCTTCTGATTKGCTGAGAACATTCTCGAAATAATGTTTCTAGGTGCCCACGACACRAGTGAAAAACTTCTACCGATGCTCTGAATCCGTATGTATTAAAATTGGTCAAAACATAAGTAAATTTGACTTTCAAACATGCCTGATAAATTGGACTTCACAAAATGCCAAAACTTAGTGTCCATGCTTGAAACGTAAGGGTAATTCTTTCATATTGTGTTTGTTAATATAGTATCTTGGCCTAACAAAAGCATACTCTCGAACGTTTTTTCTCTAGTGTCGGTGCCCACGGTTTTTCGATTCGCATTGTAGTTGGTATGGGAATGGGGCAATATACTGTAAAAATAGATTCATCCTGATGAGGAAAAAGTAAATCAAAACAGATGAAGGAGATTTCCTGTTAGTGTTTTAATTTGAATCCCACTTCCGAGATATGCTTTGCTTGTCACGACACTGATCGTGTCAGTGTGCACGATGCCTCATATGCATATGTAACATATGTTTGACAAGCGAAACATCATGCTACGAGGTATTTCTCCGGGTTGTCCGGTTTTCCTTCTCAGGGCCGTAACCAGGGGGNGATATGTACCTTCTTTACATTCTGATTTTATATTACAGCATTGATGAAAGACAAGCAACACTCAGCAAGGCTTTGGAAGAATTCAAGGAAGAAGCAGGTTTATGTTTACTCTGTTTTTAAAAACGTAGACGGTCGGAGATCAGAAATCTGAGACATGAAACGAATTGTGGTCTGCGAGCTGTGAATTTAATTTAAAAGAAAGTCACAATTGTTTTTGTTATTTTAATGAGAAGTTTGCAAAAAATTAATATGCCACCACTTTTGAGTGATGACCTGTGCTAGCTGTCGAGCTGTCTCTGATCTCAGTTCTCTGATCGTTTTTTGAAATAGGTGTATATTTTACATTCAGTCCAGTCTGGGTGTATTTCCAGTGACATATAAAATATGACTTAAAATATGTGTAGGTATACGATCGTAGTGGAGTGTTGGTAAAGTGACGGTCGTCAAGTGTTGGCTGATAGTCGATGAAAGATTACACATTTATCATAAAGTACGGGAGTGTTGGTGAAGTGACGGTCAATGGTTGGGGTAGTGTTGGTCAACAGCCGGAAGACTATCGACCAACAGTCGGGCGATATTCTACCGACACGTGTCAGTTGGTCATGAAGTACACGATTACCTAATAAGGGAATTGAATTTATGTATTAAATAGAGAATGATCTTTCTTTCCAGTAAAACTACTTCAACAACGTGCAGAAGATGCTGCAGCTCTGAAGTTGAAAACCGAAAGAGTGCACAGCATGTCAGAAGATCAAATTGCTCTCCTAAGAGCTGACATTAAGGTATTCTGTGTTTGTCAACATTTAATTTGGCAGAGTCCTGGCTAAATGAAGAAACATGTTCCAGAAACATGTTTACCGTGCACATGTTTTCCCGATGTTTACAAGTTTAGCAAGATGCGAAACAGTGCAAAAAATTTTACTTCCAAGCTGCAAAAATGTTTCTGCTGTGCGGCAAAAATATTTATGCTTCCAAAACGCATGACAACAATGTTTCCCGATGTTTCCTCGTTTAGCCACGAAAGTCAATCCCTGATGCTTCCAGACAGTTTTGCCAAATTTGGAAACATTTAAAGAAATATGTTTCCGGTTTTCTAGTTTAGCCATGGCGTGATAAGTGGAAAAGCGTTTTTCCGTCATATACCTCTGGGAGTTTGCTGGTTGGGATGCAGGTCCCTCGCTAGGGTTGGCTAGATGGTTCGAACGAACCCCTCTCTCCAACTTTGTAGGAGTATAAGAAATAATGTTTAGCGCTATTTTAGTTTTTCAAGAATTGGCATAACTAAGATTGTTGGAAAAACGAACCTTCCCTTTCTAGCGACGGGCCTGTGATGGGTCACTAATTTGATGCTTGTGGAACATATTTATTAGGGGAATTTAGATCATTAGCAAGACTCGTTGTTTGATGTGTTAATTTAATTGTGATTTAGAACTTTGTTGCTGAGAGAAAAATTGACGAAGAACTGGCACAAACAAAACGTTTCATATGTGACGAAGAAAATTTCTTGCAGGTAAATTATCACGTGAATTTATTTTTTAATCGTACACAAGATAGTGTCTATAGAGTAACCCTCCCCCCAAGAAAATGAAACATTTAGGAATTAAAATGGGTCTTGGCTTTCTCGCTGTTACATTCAAAATAAGAAAACACCTTGATATGTCTGGAATGTTGAACATCGTGTTTTGACCAATCACATGCGACAGTTAATTAGAAATGAATTCATTCTCGCATGCGATTGGTCAGAACATGATACTTACCATTCCAGTCCGATTGCTGCTGACGCGAGTGAAAAACGTCTGCGCATGCTCTCAATCCGTATGCAAATTAGTCAAACCATAAGTAAATTTGACTTTCAAGCATGCCTGATAAATTGGACTTCACAAAATGCCAAAACTTAGTGTCCATGCTTTAAACTTAAGGCTAATTCTTTCATATTGTGTTTGTTAATACAGTATCTTGGTCTGACAAAAGTATATTCTCGAACTTTTTTGTAAACTTGGAGAAAACAAGCATTTATTTTCTCACTCAATCTCTTAAAAATTCTTAGAAAACGTTTTGAAGTGCACGCTTGCGCAAACGTTTTTCTCTAGTATCATATTGCTGCTAATGTTGCTGCTTCTTTTAGCATAGCTTAAAAACACAGTACATAGCCTGGGTAATTATATATTGATTCGCACTCATACAATGGACATTAACATATGAATTAAAAATAAATTAATAATCTATTAATATAACTGTTTTGAAGAAAATGTATTTATCTTATAAATTATAATTTCAGGGAATAAAGACATTTGGTGAAGGTAAGTGTCTGTGATCAAAAAGTTACTTCATACTTATATCTAGAAAGTTCGTAAAATGGCGGTCCCATCTCAGGGCCTTAACCAGGGATCTTGCAGGGTGCTAAAACTAACAGCCATCTTGAGTTGCAGAAGAAGAAAAAACTTGCACACACACAAAAAAAAAAACAAGAAAAAAAAAACAATAAGCGATAATTGAAATCCTACCATTTGCAGAAAATGGAAAAAAGGGGGCAAACGAAAAACAAATGATTCAGCGGACCTTCAGCTTACGTGTGGGTGGGGGGAGGGTGCACCCAATGCACCCCACTTGGTTACGGCCCTGCATCTGATCTCCACTCGAGTACACCGATTTCAAAAAATGTTTTCGGTCGAATATCTGATATCTGAGACAATTCGAATTCGCCAGTGCAGAGATGATCTCTCAAAAGTGGTGGCATATTTAGATATTAACTTATTGCAACTACTTATTACAAAGACATTACGATTACAACTTTAATTAATGCTTACAATCCACAATCATGTCATTCTCACATTTAGCATTTCAGATTTCCAACCGATAACGTTTTTTGAAATACGTGTATTCACATAGGAAGGGTGCTTAATAACTCATAGAACATTTTTGACCTTTCTTGATAAATGATTAATTGTTTTCGTTTTCTTTTGACTTGTTTTGACACACAGTTGTTCCCATCAAAAGCACCTATACTCCCGTAGTACTGAACCACCCAATGCCTTCAACAACTCCAAAACACTCTTTTGCCAAGACTCAGTCGTATAGGTTTACTCCCGTAGTACTGGACCACCCATCGTCTTCAACAACACAGAAACCCTCTTCTGCCAACACTCAACCGTCGCTCGTAAACCATCCCTCTACAGTGCTTGATCACCCAACGTCTTCAACAACACAAAAACCCTCTTCTGCCAAGACTCAACCGTCCCTCGTAAACCATCCCTCTACAGTACTGGATCGCCCATCGTCTTCAACAACACAGATACCCTCTTCTGCCAACACTCAACCGTCGCTCGTAAACCACCCCTCTAAAGTAGTGGACCACCCAACGTCTTCAACAACACACAAACCCTCTTCTGCCGACACTCAACCGTCGCTCGTAAACCATCCCTCTACAGTACTGGATCACCCAACGTCTTCAACAACACACAAACCCTCTTCTGCCGACACTCAACCGTCGCTCGTAAACCATCCCTCTAAAGTAGTGGATCACCCAACTTCTTTAATAACACAGAACCCCTCTTCTGTCAACACTCAGCCGTCCCTCGTAAACCATCCTTCTGAAGTCAAACTACCAAACACAACTCAACCATCAAATGCTGCAAAGGTCTCAGAGACATCAGTTCTTCCGAAGAAACCAGAACCAACACCTTCAGCAACAAGACGACACCCCATTGCAGCAACGTCTGGTCGTCCTCCAAAAATCCAGTCCTTGATATCTTCAGCAATGGCGAAGACCACTATTGCTGTTGGAAACTTTCAAGGCGCAGAAGATATACATTCAAAACTAAAAGAAGATGCCAAAAAACAGGTAAAAAAGCGCTCCTGTTTTATGATGCCATCTTGTCGCATTCCACGTAAATTTTGTAATATTTGTGTCTAGAACCTTAGAATCTAATAGTATAACTTTACATTTTTTTAAACAGGGTGTTTTCAGTCAAAACGAATCAAAAAAAGGTTAGTTTAAAATATAAAATACGACAACTGTAATTTTGAAGGCTGAGTTCTTGGCGCCATACTTTCCCGCCAAAACTGTATTGTAACATCTTCTCTCATTGTACAACTTAATGTTACCCTTTAACAGTTTTTGGAGAAAAATTAACTCAAAAATCTTAGATTCTGTAGCATAGTCTGGAATAATCCGGATAAAGAAAGTGGAAAAATTGGCACTGTGATACTTTTTTGCTGAAAATTTTAAAACACAATTTCAAAGTTAAGTAATCTTGTAATACTTTGCAGTCAACCTTCCTTTTCATTTTTGATTAAGATAAATAAGATTATCATTACTCAAAAGAAAAGTTATATCCAGAAATTGAATTTTTTTTTTTTTTTTTTTTTTTTTTTTGCACAGAGGTTGCAGTAACTGTCATTTGATTTCGGGTCTTGTTTCTGTCTTTTATTGTTTGCCTTGTGAGCAAGAAGGAATTGCATTCCTAGTGTAGTTTCTTCAGGGTGGTAAAGTGGGGACGGTGTACAATTCATCATTTTCCATATATCGGTTCAATGGTCAAACACAAAGCATTCAGTCGAGGTTTCAAGGTTCAAAATTGAATATTCCTTTGAAAGTAACTAGGGGCCTCGCTTGAGCGCTTTGTGTTTGACCAGTGAACCAATGTATGGAAAATGGTGAATGTACTTTTCACAAAAAATAAAAGCGGTCAAATCACGTTTCACGAAATAACCCGTCATTGTTTCTTCGAAAATTAACTCGCGTTTTATTTTTTCCTTTTCCATTGTCAGAAAACCCAAATCAGGAGCACAGACAGCAACACTCAAGACAAACCACAGCTCCATATCAGCAAGGAAAACAACAACCCAAAAGAACGCAAGAACCACGACCACGGCGACCACAGTCGAGCCGCCAAGGCAGCAGATCAAACCAAAGACATAAGAAAGACGAGAAAACTTCCGATAGAAAGCCGAACGAGACGTCTCAAACGGACGAAGCGAGAGCAAAAATGAACCAGCGTAGTTCCTCTGCGCAAAATGAGAAAAGGAAAGAGGGAAGCGAAGTAAATCATAGGTCGACAGAAGGAAGACAGTCGAACCCGCCTCGGGAAGGAGAGAATAAACGTCCACCGCGAAGAAGAAGAAGAAGAGGCGGAAGGGATAATAGGCTGAGTGGAGAAGAACCAGCTAAAGAAGCTTCAGAAGCGAGTGCAGAAAAGGATAATGATTCTAAGCAGAGTGGAGAAGAACCAGCTAAAGAAGCTCCAGGAGCAAGTGCAGAAAAGGATGATTCTAAGCAGAGTGTAGAAGAACCAGCTAAAGAAGCTTCAGAAGCGAGTGCAGAAAAGGATTACGATTCTAAGCAGAGTGGAGAAGAACCAGCTAAAGAAGCTTCAGAAG